GGCCTGTCAAGAGAGGCTGCAGTGTACGACCAATCTAGTACACATGCAAAGAGACAGATGCATATATTAACATGAGCCACGCGAGTCTTTGAACCAGAGGCCACTCTGCAGAAGAGCGCTGGCTTTGATGTGTTCGAAAAGGAGAATCAATTATATCCCCGGTCGCTGCTATCACCAAAGGACTGCATAAACTTTGGAGTTTAAAGTTCCATTAAAAGCGATGTCCAAAAAATCTAAAGGGACACTAACTAGATCTTAGATGATCAGTCTGTCAACGGCATTTAAAATGAGGTGGAGTAGGAGGTCATAATGAACTTCACGGCTTAAGAACAGCTCCTTTGCTAAAAGAGTACATAAAGAGTACATGTTTTCAAACCAAGAGAGTTGAGAATAGCTTTCACAAGCTATGCAACTTCTCACATAGTGAGACTCAGTAATGTCCTGTGAGACACTGTTGGTCTGTGTGACTGCTACTGTAACCTCTTGAATCCCAACAGTCCAACAGCATGTCCACAAATCTCTAGTCTCATCCTAAATAATTCAAACGTACTGTAAGTCATATGGGCATTTCATCAAACTGTTTTTTTGGCCTCTATCTTGATCCTGGTTCATCCTGGTCAATGAAATACATACGTCAACATGTGTCTGAGCCTTAAATTACACAACGATCTGTGATCAAACACATTGACACTGGTGTCGATATCGACTTTTGGCACTAAAATTATAAAAATCAGCTTTATGCTAGGCTGCCAACCTCCCCCGGCAACCCTCCTCCAATCTTGAAGCGCTGTACATTTTGTTTTGCACTCTAAGTATTTTTCGACTTTTGGCTCCAGAATGCACTCTTTACTTTTTAGATCCTAATATCCCTAACTTACCTAGCTCAGCAGTGATACCCATACTGAGGATAGACACAGGTCAGGTCAAATATATCTAAGGACAACAGTTATAATTTTCACTCCCTGCTTTGCTGAGCTTGATGCTTCCTTGGGTGACACTCTTACAGCTCATGCTAAATATCAAAGCTGTGCATATTCTACACTCATATAACACTCACCGCACAATCCTGGGGAGTGAAATGGGAATAAAGCTGCACATCATCACGAGTGCTGGTCACAGATATCTGATGCCAATCAGACATAGATTCCTTCAAGGCCGGTACAGACTGAATCACAACACAGATTTCAGTATATTGAGACTTTTGTGAACAAAGTCTCTATCAAATCCTTTCTATAATTATTTTTTCTTCGAACAAACTATTGTGTTTACACTTTTGATGGAGGGCATTCTGTGCCAAATCCGTGGACAAACCCACATCAGCTGAAGTTCTATTCAACATCATTCAGCACAGGATTACAATTAGTAATCACTGAAAAAAAACATGTTTTGTCCAAAATCATAATCTACTTTACAGCCTCAGTATTCACCCAAGCACTGTTGATCTGTTGTTACTTTAAGGACTGGATCTTCAAACACAGGTCAAAAAGAAATGATTAAAGACAAATCTATGCAAACTAAATGGAACTGACTCATCTTCTTAAGTGCAAAAGAACAACCTCCTCCATCTGAAAGAAGTTTGCACATCCATTTTTTTTATTCTTGCTGTCGTCACTATGACCCAAACATGTCATGTTGCATTAGACCCTAACTGTTCTAAAAGAGAATCTAAATACGCACCATCTCCAGGAGGCAACAGGCGAAGTGCTGTATTCAGCACACACAATAACAAAATGAATATTTGATTTGGATTGGTACAGCCACTTCCTGTCTCTTGCAATGCCCTGAAGAAGAAGCAATTCTCCTGTTACCCATGGACAGTTACAACCACTGTAAATAGCACAAGGCCCTGCAGGAGTTTGGCTTGTTAAGAGCTGCAGATGAAAAGTTGACTCAAAGACAAAGCAACTTTAAACAAAGTGACAGTGTCGAGTAAAATTAAAACAACTTTATTTCTCTTTGATCAGATTCCACCTTCGCAGTGTCCTGTTCCCTGTTAGGAACAAAAATAGAAAATCAATAAAAAAGCAAAGTCAAACAGTTTTCTCTTCGACCATACAGCAACAACAGCCAGCTGCTCTGTGATGATACTTGAGAGTGGACTGCAGCGTTCATATGAGTCCTTTCATCTCTTGTTATCGTCGATGTCCGACAGCAGCCGGCCTCCACATTCAGTCTTATAACTGAGAGCGACAGTGAGTGAGAGGCAACATCTGCAGCATCACTACCTGACACGCCTCAGACAGGAGGAAACCAGCAGGCTGCTTCACTCACATTGTCCTTGAGATGGATGATAAAGTCAGGAGTATGACTTTAGAGTTCATACCCAGAGCCTTAGTGGTGTATATATAATAATAATAATAATACAACTTAATTTGCATAAAACCTTTCATACAACAAATGCAGCCAAAAGTCTTTTACATACAATATAGATGAAAATAAAATAATAATTATATATAATATAATATTATCCTAATTATAAGATGTACACATATACATATGCATTACTGCTGTTTTTTAATTGAAAAACCTATTTCAGATACAAGTCGTTTTCAGACCTGAACTGCGGAAAATGTCAGCAGAACTCTCCGGACATTCTACGGAATTTGTCTTTCACACATGAACAGCGCAGTGGAAGATTCTCCACTCAGACGCGTTCATAACAACAAATACCTCCTGTGTGTCCAGGTGAGGGGGCGGTGCAGCATGCAGGAGGCAGGAAGTAACGTAATAATCCTGCTGCAGAGATCGCTTTTTGTTAACGGCACATCATCGGCCCTTATCACCAAAAGCTCTTGGATCTCGTTGTGTTTTCTAGTTGGCATCTCCTGCAACGTCTTATATGTGAATAGCACCTCTTTTTCATCCTGATATTGTAATATTTTTTCTGTTCTGCTGTTTTTCATTGCACCATCAAGGCACAAACTTTCTGCAAATCCTCTGAATTCTTACAACCTTTTCAAATCTGCATTGTTTAGTGTGAATGATGAAGATACAGTTTCTTTTCATCCTTGGTGATACTTGTGTGGGACTATCTGAACACAGCAATCAGGTGCAGAACATTATAATTGCACCAAAAAATCTGATTCTGGAGCAGATGTTTGTGGAGGGAACTACACCCAATTTGAGATCTGAGTCTGACAAGCAACCAAGTCTAGTCTTCTTGATATTTGTCCAGATAGGAGGATATTGGATTTTAATAATGCAACTTATGCACTGACTTGAACCAGGGCAAAAAGAATTACAGGTCTGACAACATGCTAAGCAGTGAGGGTGGTGCTGAGGTAAGTACTTCCCCCTCTGAACAATCACAGTATGAACATTAAACCTACATGAGCACTGCCAAAAATCCAGCACATGTGGAGGAGGTTGTGGAGCAAAGAGTGGTGACAGCTCAGTGGAGTAACAGTCAGTGCTTAGGAGGTTGTAGTGGTCCTATTCAACAGCTATGAATGAACCACTGATTATTGAGCATAAATGAAGCAGCTGGTAAATCCGGAGTATGCAAGTGCAATTCCAGTTCTCAGACGGGACTAATGATATTGTCCATAAGCTGCCAATGGTGTGAGAGTCCATCTTAATGCGCAGGGATGCAAAAAATCTTGACTTTATACCACACACAGACTTTTGTTCCCTGACTATAAGATTGTCTTCTTGCACATTCATGCACAGTTTCCGCCACCTCCGGGCTCCACCAACTCTTTTCATCCAATCACAACCAGTCTAGACTCGAGCCAATTACCTGTGAACTGTCAAAGATTAAAAAGTTCTCTCTCGCCTGTCATTCAGCTTCCGATTCTGCACGATGATCAATGACTGTCCCTCCTTCGCTTCACCTCTGGATATCAGGGTCATCTCCCTTCAACCATCCAACCAGAAGCCTTCATCAGACGTCTCAACTTCATGCTCTATTGCTCATCACCACCCCCACTGTCTAAGCCTTGTATCCGAAGACTGCTTCCATGGAGTTCGACTTCCTTCCAGGTTTAAGCACCAAAGTTTATTCCTCTTGCTCACAAACTTTATTATATTGAAATGTACTCGTTTTAACACATTTCTCTAGCTTTCCAAAGCACATTATTTAAAAACTGAAATATATTTATCTCATCTCCAGGCTCACACATCACATCTACTGTGTTTAACCTGCAAAAAAAGAAGCTTTAAAAAGCACCCATCATTTGGGTATGACATTCTGACCATTAAAAGCCAGTGTTTGCCCCACTCACTGAAAAAAGAGACAGCAGCTTTGTCCTCTCAGTGAAGCTGGGTGATTGTTGTAAACTTAACAGTGACATGCAGCTTAGAAAGCATAATGTGAAAATTAGAGTTTGGATTTTCCAGAAGGTGCATTTCTCATCTCTGGAAGAGGCACCCCCCCCCCACTACCCACTGAACACTCAGAGACAAAATGAACCTCCAGTTTTACAGCAAACAGCCACAAAACACAGAGGTCCTGTCTGTGAGCTTTTTATTTGTATTACATTTGGCTGCTCACACAACTGGAATAGCTGCAATGTTTGCAGCATGTGTTTGCACAGTTCCAAATTTTGCAATGCACAGTGAGAGCTATGACAGCAGGGTGCCACACCATGCACATTGCAGAGTAGCCTTTAAGTGATGACTGATTTTTTTACTGCAGTTACACGAATTAGTCACAGAGAGAATGACAATGATATATAGGGCTTGGAATGCTACAAGACACCTTTGAGAGTTTTAGCAAATATACATGAAGACAACTTAAAATAGAAGCAGAAATCAGAACCCACAGCTCTTTTTTTTTTATTTCTTTGTATTCCACTGAGGTAAAGAGAAACAATAATAGGGTAAACTCAGGTGTGTTGTGTTTATTGAGTCTATCAGCTGCAGGGCTCAGGTGTTGAGATCAGCCTCGTGTCTCTGGGGGCAGAAACAAAACAGCGTGACCCCGAGCCTGTTATTAACTCTACAAGGGTGTAGAATATCAGAGTCAGGTAAAGTAATGTGAGGGGAGGGGGCGTGTTCACCTCATAATGGGCGACCCTCTGGGACTCGGAGATGAGCTGCGCGCTGCACACTTTGCAGTAGCTGTCTGTGAAAAGCCCTTGGTCCACCTCTGTTGACTTCATCTGGTGAAAGAGACAAATGCAGACATGATTACTGACATGAGGTACTTATTGATTTTTACTAAATTATTTTAAGGTAGCATGTTTCAGACAGCCTGAGACATGAACTGGTGCTAATTTGATTCCCTGGCCTAAAAAACTCTGGACTGGAGCAAACTCCCAAACTGAAAAACTGTTCGATTTTTTTATTGTATATAACTAAACTGCCAGATTTACTATTTACACCGAAAAGGATGCATTTTTGTTGTCCCTGTCATGCAGCCCTGCTTTGTGTGTCTTCAGGGAGCCAAGACAAACCAACCAAGTTGTAATAAAGCCAGTAAACAATAATCTCATTTCATACTTTCATTGCTGTTAATCAATATTTCATTACCCAAAGCTTTTGAGTTAGTGACAGATGCTGAGCAGCTTTTGTGAGCAACGACTCAGAAAGAAAACATTTAATATCAAACATCCCACCTTAAAACTTCAGTCACGCAGCCTTAAATTATATTTGGTATGAATAAATAACAGCAACAGATGATGCTGATGGGGTTTTCCCTGAAAATTCATTAAAATATATGAGTGAGGTCCCTGTTGCGTGAGAGACAGCTGCGAAAAGCTTTTATTTCTCTTTCCACCGGCCCAGCTGAGCCATCTCTGCTTTCTATTACTAATTCAGATCCAGCTTCCATTAGGGGCTCACATTTCATATTTGGAAGCAGTCAGGCTCAACTCATCCTCATTTACCGAGGCACGTACTGTACGTCTTCATTAGGAGCTGCAGGACAGATGAGACCTAAGATTTTGAGGCTTTACTGGAAAACCAAAGTCTCTCAAAATATTGAGATACAACAATGACAAATGTTTTGCTGTCCTTTGTCCACTTTCAAATACTAAGGATAACTTATTGCAGATTCAAGCAACAGAATCAAATTTATAAGAGGATTACACTTTGTGGATATGTTATAATGCCAATTATACAGTGTTTTACAAAATCCAATGTGCATTTTAATCTAATCCCTTTATTTTAGTGTTATTATGACACAAAATGTTACCTGGCATGTACAGTACATGCCTGTAGTGGAATGATAGTCCTGTAAAGTCCAGTTACCCTACGTCCACTTTTTGGGGGACCTGTCCTTACAAGGGTGTTCACCTCTCCCCTTTCTATTGTACTTCGTGGGATAGTATATGTAACATTTTAGTCATTTAACTTTTTGTATGTTATCTTTTCTGCCATTGTGTTTTTAAGATTACTCATTAGTTGAGTTGTGCTATCTTATGCTAACCTATTTTTGAGGTTAATTAGGAGCTCCACATATGTGAAAACTGACTGGAGGATTGTTTTCCTCCGAAGACATTCATGGTCCTGCCTTTCCATCAAAAGAATCAAAACGCAGACTCCACCGGTTGCAGATACACCAAGAGAATGTTGACATGAGTTAGTGCCTCTGTTGTTATTTAGTGAAGTTAAATATATTGAGCGGAAAGGTGCACTGTGTATTTCCCACATCATCTCCCGATGACGTGTAAATAAATGATGAGTTCTGTGAGTTGCAACTTACAACACAGCAAATTGTTTTCTGCTCGGAGCTACAGGTATAGCTAAGCATAAATATTCTCATTTTATTAAAACATTATATAAGTAAATGTAATGTTGTCTTCATTATGAATGTAAAAGTTGAGGGAGAGAGAGAGACAGGAGAGTTAGGAGATGGTGTGCAGAAAGAGGCCTGGGCTGGATTCAAATGACTCCATGCCAGTAGCTATATTAATATTTTATTATAATATTATTATACAATGCTTTATAAACCAGGCAACAGCTGCCTAGTTTTTGTTATGGTTTGTGTTTAAATATGCCTTGATTTGATAATGACAAACACACGTAATGGGTGGGACATTTTATGACTTTAAGCTTTCCTTGTGGTTATGAGTTCTGCTATGAACATGCATCCTTTTACTGTGCTGTCATGAAATCTGACACACCACAGCCTATCCTTAATATGCTGCTGGTTTTCTGTAATTTACTCAATTACTCTATATTATTAACAAATGGATGATCTTCAAGTTGCAGACTTTCTTTTCATCTGTAGCGTAAATGTGATTTTTCCAGGACAGAGCTGTCTCAAGCACTTCTCCAACTGGGAAGGATAAAACCTGTCAGAGGCCCAGAGGGTTTGCAAACAAAAGTTAAAGAGGCAGAAGAGAAATATAATAAAAATCAGTCCTCTCCTCAGTTTCATAAAAAGTAGTGTTGTATCCTGTTCATCTGCTACAGGACAAACAACATAAATGAGCAGCTTGGAGAGCTCCTTCAGCTTGTGCCAGTGTTGGGCCCACTGCTTGTTTCAGTGACGGTGCACAGATGCTGGAGATGAATGATTAATCACCCTAAATTCATTTAAGATGGAGAAATATCAGCAGCATCACGAGGAGATGCACCGCCAAAAGCCTGGCTGAAAAAATGAAACTCAAATTTGGTTAAGTTCCACAGTTAGAGGATGGGTTCATTGCTAGTTGCTTCATTAAGTTTTAAGTTTGCATTTTTGCATCCGTTTCAGAAGGACTCGCCGTGAACCTGCAATGTGGAATAAACAGAAAAAGACAATAAACACTATGTTTCCCTCGTTTGTGTCTAAATATTATGCATTGTTACTTTGGAGGCCGGGGCCCCTACAGATGTATCCACAGTCAGGATACGACCACTGAACCTCACTTTTGTCTGCATATAAAGTGAGTAATTGCTGAAGTTTACTTTACTGTTACTGCAGGGTCCTGAGCTCCAGAGGAGAGCAATCTATGAAGGAGTACAGATCACAAAATAAGTTTGTGTTTATTTATTTTATGTTTTTTGTCCATTTAATCTTTTACGATATCACTCTATCCACCTGGCTTATAGCTGTAAATCTGAGAACATGTCAACAATGCTACACTGCTGCTGCCGAGTGGGGTTGGGCCGCTGAGGACAGTGGTACAACAAGAGAAAATACCAAACACGTGAATTACTACACATACAGTATGTTAGGCCTTTTATCTCCCCTCCTCCCCTGAAGTTCATGGCTCCCACAGTAACAGCAACACAGCATGTGGAGATTAAATAGCTTAGTGGAGGATGATTGACTGACCTTGTACTGGGGATGCACCTTAACTTAGTATCCCATTGTTAAGAGACTGACAGGAACATGCAGCAAAGAAAGACTTTAACACGTTCAAAGTCATTTAATGCAGACAAGGGAGAGCAAAAGATATACACAGTGATTCTACTTCAGCTTGTTTGAGTCTTTTCTCTCCTAACTCTGTTGGATGTGACAACCACTCAAACCACATTCAGAGGTGCTCTGGGACGCTATGTGGCCACATTCCTAAGCTGTATGAATAAAAATCCAATTTAAGGATGACTTACTGAGCTGATATGTCTGACCCGCTATGGTTTAAACTCATTGTTACACTCCTAGTGTCGATATGTCAATAAGTTTGTAGCCACCACTACAATATCAACACTGATCAATACTTTACTTCAACAGGTCAAATCTTTCTTCATAGCTGCGAACATTTAATCATTCAGCCCCTCCTGACCAAGCTCCCCCTCTTTCTCTCTCTCTCTCGCTTGTACCAACACACAAACACAAACACACACACACACACAAACACACACACACACTGTCACTGGACACATCTGTAAACTCAGACAGAATAAAAAGTGCATTAATTGGTCTTCATGAACACAAATGAAACATGTTTATTTGCATATTGACCTGGGAGGAGACACCCGATCCCACATTTCAATGCCAGATGTGAACAAACGTACTTAGCGCTGACCACTTGGGATCCGATTTCTCAGGATGTTAACATCAGGTGTGTACAGGTCCTTCAGCAGCGTTGCTGCATACTCACATCTTGTTGAGAATAAAACAAGTTAACAGTGACACCTTCTCCTTGTACCTAATCACGTCTTTCACCCAGCAGCACTGGACGAAAAGCAGCAACAGTCCTGCGGCGCTTGAAGAGGGTGAAGTACAGCTCTCCAGAGGGCAACCAACCACCGCTCACTGCCGCGATCACTTCTCTAAGCTAATGGATTTTACAGTCAGACACATTGCTATAATTGCAAGAGGTTGACTCTCTTCCAAATGAGATGCAGAGAAAAGAGTAATTTTCATCGAGCGTAATTGGATAAAGAAAGGCATCGAATCACAGAGCAATACGGGGGTTCTCTGACAATTCAATCATCAATATCTGATGTCAGTACAGCAGTTCTCTCTCTGAACACCACGGTGAGCTCATTATAGAAGCTGTACCGACATTTTGGTTAAGGAGAAATACAAGGAGAAGTCAGAGAGGAAATAATGCAGCAAGCATCGTGTTGATGATCAAATTAGCAGGAAGCCAGCTTGTTTCTCACACCTAGTCAACAGTATTTACCGTCTGCCTTTGACTATGACGTGCCCCCAGCAAATCAGATGAGGCGAACAGTGTGGGGCCGGGTGCCCGAGTGTGGGGAGGGAAAAAAATGAAAAAGCTGATGAAAACAGTGGGAGGGAAAGTGTGCAGAGATGAAAGGGAGGTCACAGTAGAGACTGCCCAGCAGATGTTACAGCTATAGAAGGTCAGTTGTAATTCGTTAGGGAGTGCATTAAGCTGGGTAGCTGGATGAATGCCAGTGCAGACAAGCTGGACTCATACCGGCCTTTCCAGTGGGTGTCCCTTTGGCAGAGGACAGTTCAGATGCTGATCGTTAGACCCAGGGCACAACTTCTGTCATGACACCAGAACACTGGCTTTAATATCCATGCCATGTTCAGAACAAGAGATATTTTAAACTCTAAAGTCTATTTTCTTCACGTTGTCTCTCACACAAAGACAATGTGACCAACAGAGTCTTATTGTACTGTGGACACTCCAGTGAAGGCCAGTGGGACGTTGTGCAGCATACACAGGATGTGTCTCTTTTGGGGACATCTTGACTGTGCAAGAATGCTTGAGTAATTTCAAATGAGGCCGATGGTCATGTTGGTGACACC